CCCCCCAAAACCCCCTGCGTCCCCTCCTCTCGTTCCATTTAATTGTTGGATTGTCAGCGCCGCACTCCCGCAGGCGGCCGGCAGGGGGCGGAGTTCGAGCCTGGATTTCTCCGCCGGGCGGCCCCTGGGAGACACTCGCCGAGTGGGGGAGGGGAGGGCGGGGCGCGAGGACGCTGTTCCGTCGGCGGCTGCGCTACTTTTGATCCGGGCTCGACTGGGAGACCGCGGCTGCCGCATCAGAGCTGACGTGGGGACGACGTGGGGCCGCCGCCGGCGCCGGCGCGGGGTTGCTGGGCGGCGGCGCCGCTGCTGAGCGGCGGCCGGGCTGGCGGTCTCCACCTCCTCCCGTCCGTAATCAGTGACGAGGTCCGCTACGTAAACGCCATCGCGGCGGGTAAGTGGCGCGCCGGCCCCGGACCCAGAGACCTAGGAGCCGGCGACGCGACGCGGGAGGCGGAGGCAGGAGGCGGAGCGGAGCCGGGGGCGGCGGGCCGGGACCGGGGGCGGCGGGTTCCCGGGGCCGGAGAGCGAGCGGCCCCCGGACGCGGCCCGCCCGCCCCCGAGGCCGCCGCCGGCCCCTGGGCCTCTCCCGGGCGCAGCGGCGGCCGCTCACCTCGTCCGGCGGCTTCGTTTAATCCGTAGCCCCTGAGCTCAGAGCGGGCTCTGCGCCCCCCAGACCCTCCCTACCTCCCTTTGAACCTGGTTCGCGTTGGAAAAGCCTTAACCCGAGAAAGCCCTCCCGCCCTGACGAGTACGGTTCTAACTCTCTGAAAAGAAAAAGGAAACCCGAAGTAAGGACGTTGGTTTTATGTGCCGCAGCCGACGACTGATAGCGCCTCTGTCCCAGGTTTATGTACGCAGTTTAGCTGTGAATTAACATAACCCGTTTCTTCTCCGGCATGCCAGTCGGAGGGACATCGCTGTTGAGGCATTTTAGACCCCAGACACGATAGATGTGATGAGATAGAATACAAAGACTTTTATAAAACCTGCGAAGAAGGAACAAATCCGTGGCAGCGGATAGAAACCGCAGTTTCTCTTACTGTTTACTTTTGGGTTTTGCCTTTTTAGCGTCATCTGGTAAGGTTCCTGGAACCTGCCGAATAGGGAATAAACACATCGTTCAACATAGAAATTCACCTGATTGTCTGTTACTTGTCTGTCACGTCCCTAAGTTTGAAATCACTTAGGCGTTTCCTGCACGCTGCTCAGTAAAGCAGCTATCAGTGGATCAGTTTGTTGTCAAATTTTTAGAAATTTTGAGTGACAGGACCAGCCTGAATTTCAGCCTCGCTAAGACTGAAAGAGCCCCTTTTTACAGTGCGGCTAGCGTAGGGGACTAAGTTTTTTCCTTTTCTACTTAATTTGCCCTGCGGATGGGAGTGCAGTCATCTTCGCTTGAAACACATAAAAACCTAGACGCACAGTGCAAGAGGTCCAGTATGAACATTGTATTAGGTTACATCAATAATCCACATTCTCTCTCTCTTTTTTTTCCATTGGGTACCACATTTTTTTCCTAATCTCGATCCGCTTTTTGGATAACAGACTTGTTTCCCTTCATAAGTCATAGTAAGTCTTTAACTCTTTGAACCTGAAGGAAATTTTCTTTTTCCAAAGGAAGGCAAATTGAAAACAGTGTTTTGGCATGCTAAGTATTAAAACTGATGTTTAAAGAACTACTGATTGATCCAAACACAATTAACTTAAAGATATATTGAAAGGGCTTCAATCCTGCGTGAGTAAACACTTAAAACATTGTCAATAAGAAGTGTTGTTAATTACACTGTTTTGATGAGTCTGTAAATAGCTCAATGTAACAAATCCTTTTCCAGTTATTTAGTGGTGGATATGCAATCATGTTGGTGAGTGTCAAGTAAGTTGTAATTACACTGATGTTTTGTGTACATATTTTGGTAAGAGCATATGAATAAATTTTTATTGAATGTATAAACACAGAGGAGCTTTTTAGTCTTTGTTTTTGCATGGTCCCTAAAAGTTAATGAAATTTGCTTCTACTGATGAATTTCAACAATCTCCAGATTCCACAGGTTAATAGACTGTATTCTAGTTTCCTGTGAGGTGAGTCACTGCATGATTAAAATATGAAGTCTTGTTTAGAATTATGAGCATTTCATGAACAGTAAGGAAGAGTTGCAGATTGTTAACATACATAAGGAATCTTGACTGAATCTGCACCAGTGTAGACATATTTCTGATCCTGTTTCTCCCAAGTTGATATTCTCTACAAGTAAGTATTGGGCCAGGTTTATTATTGAAGGGGGTAGTCTATTGGAAAACTTTTAAATGTCCTGTTCCATTTAGATAAATTCCTTAAAACTGAACAGTGCAAACACTGGACAGCTGAACCACTGAGAGACTTTATTTTTTTGAGCAGTTTTAGAACCATTGATTTTTTCTTTTCTTTTTTTTAATTTAATTTATTTTTTTTGTAGAGATGGGGTCTCACTCTTGCTCAGGCTGGTCTTGAACTACTGAGCTCAAGCGATCCTCCCGCCTGGGCCTCCCATATTTTGATGTGCAATCAACTAGTCGATAAGGAAATAGCCTGAACTGTCTGAATTTTGTTAAGTGCTTCTACATTATTGAACTGATGGATTCCATATATAAAAGTCAGTTTTAAAAGTTATTACTAGTTACGCAGGCAGTGTCTTCACGCACCAATCACACAGGGCTCCTTCTCAGCGCACTTGAAAAAAAAAAAGTCAAAAAAATGAATAAAAGTTATTGTACATTGAATAACATTTCAATATTATCAATGCAGGAACTTAGTACAGATTTCAAGAAAAATGTATCTCATCCATTACACATGAGGTAGAAATGAACATTTTAAATAATTATGTTAATTTCCTTTTAAACAATCTGTAAGGTATTTGAAATACTTTTTTCCATAGGAATCTACCTAATAAAGAGTGCTGTTCTTAAGAGTAAATGCTTTTACTCCTGGCCTTTCATTTTCTGATGCTGTGTGATATCCAGTAGAGAATAAGGACAGGCCAGGCGCGGTGGCTCACGCCTGTAATCCTAGCACTCTGGGAGGCCGAGGCAGGTAGATTGTTTGAGCTCAGGAGTTTGAGACCAGCCTGAGCAAGAGCGAGACCCTGTCTCTACTAAAAAATAGAAAGAATAGCCAGGCATGGTGGTGCATGCCTGTAGTCCCAGCTACTCGGGAAGCTGAGGCAGGAGGATTGCTTGAGCCTAGGAGTTTGAGGTTGCTGTGAGCTGGGCTGTGCCACGACACTCTAGCCCAGGCAACAGAGTAAGACTCTGTCTCAAAAAAAAAAAAAAAAAAAAAAAAAAAAAAAAAAACAAAGAAGAAAACCTGAAAATAACATTAGTGGGAATTATCTTGATATTACTCTTGAAAATGCCTTAAGCCTTATTGGTATACAGTTATGCACCACATAGTGACATTTCAGTCAATGGTGGACCACATATATGACAGTGGTCCCATGAGATTGTAATGGAGCTGAAAATTCCTATTGCCTAGTCCTATTGCCTAGCCATAGTAACGTCACAGGGCCATGCATTGCCTTTTCTATGTTTATTTATGTCTGGATACACAAATACCACTGTGTTCCAATTGCCTACAGTATTCAGTACAGTAACATGATGTAGGTTTGTAGCCTAGGTGTGTAGCAGGCTATACCATCTAAGTTTGTGTAACTACACCGCTGTGATGTTTGCCCAAGGATGAAATGGTCTGATGACATATTGCTCAGAACGTATCCCCATCGTAAGGCGATGCATGACTGTAGTTACAGCAAGGTTTAAAAAATAAAATATCTATTTGCACATCTTGTGACTGGCCTTCCTAGGAGTGTTATTGGAAATAACTGACAAGGTATATGTGAAACAATTTTTATAAGCAGCGGAAATACATAGGCAATGAAGTTATAGGGTATTTTTGCTTAAAGACTTTGAATAACTGTCTCATTGGTCAGGAAGGATGCTTGCTCTAAGAAAACCTTATTAGCGACTCTTCCTCATCAGGCGCTTTTGAAGCCTTCCAGCTCTCCCCAGATGGGAAGCATCTTCCTGTGTTTATCATAAACAATAGTATAACCAGACTGATTAAATGTCAGAATAAAATCCTGTGAAAATTTAAGAGTGGGGCTAATATGATTCTAATATTTTACTTGAGGATGTCACAAAATAAACTCAGTTTCTTCAAAGTTATCCTAGTAAAGCTTTTTTTTTTTTTAACACAGCAAACTTAAAATTAGGTCATCCTAACTCAGAATGACAAAATGTCAGACAGTTTTGTTCATAATCTCAGTCAGCCTCAGTTTTTTTCATTGATAGCACAAAAAAATGATTATTTTTCTTTTGGCTTAGAAGTGTTTTTAACTGGAATTTATAGCCTACCACTGATTATGATGAAAACTTCTAGCTTGGAATTGGGGTAACTATATCATACATAAAGACCCATGTTATTGTATTAATATATGGATGCTTAGAATGCTTGCTTTCTTAAAATTACTGGAGGAGTCAAGTTTAATTAGGCATGTTTCTATACTTAGAAAGATACCAGTTTTGTTCAGATATACAAGATAGGACCAATCTGGGTAAGTAAAATAATGTCGAAATTCTTTTCTCTGAACTTTAGCTAATTCAAATGTCTTATCTACTTTCCCAGACTTACTAACTAGTAGTCAATGCATTTGTACTTAATGTGTGTAGAAAAGTGTTTTGAAATGTGCTTAGTGTGTAGTAAAAACAAGCCATTGAAAAGAAAAACCTTACAGTGAATCTAGTCAAGCAAGTGACTCCCCCCAAAATTTTAAAATTTGGTTTCCCTTCATCAAATGCTGGTGGTTGAAAGGCTGGAGATAGGCCACGATTATTTGAATTTCATTTTTCATTTCCTCCTCAGCAGCTGACTCCTTGATTCATTGTGAAGTAGCCAAAAGCAGGCAGCAGGTGGGAAATGAATTGAAAAAGAAAGAGATGCTTGACTAGTTAATCCTTAGTAATTTGAGTGAAGAGTTAAGATTTCTTGAATAATAACAGGTGTCTCAAGCAATTAAGTTGGAGTAGCCTTAAATCTATATCAGAGAGCCTCCTGATTGTATGTATAATTCATGTTTGAAACATTAAAGACATTATTTACTGGTGTTTGAAATATTTATTTACAAGTATTCCTCCTGGCTACTTCTGTTTTTACATGAAAGTGTAAAGATTGTTATTTGAAAGTTATTGTAACTTTGCTTCACAAAGAGTGGGAGCAAGACTTTAAAAGTGGCATAATTTCCTGTTACTGCTATCTTTGTTTTACTTATACCCATCTCCTTCACCTGAAATACGTAATAAGTCACCATAGGCTCATCCTTGTCAATTTCACATACGTGGGTGTTTGGAATTCTCTCTTTT